AAAAAAAAAAAAAAAAAAAAAAAAGACAGACAGACAGCTTATCTAGCACAGGAGGGAGAAAGGAGAGAGAGTCACATGAATACGTCCTTATGTCATTGTGCCAAGGAGGGCAGTGACAGAGGAGGGGACACCGTCAGCCTCTGCCTAGAGGCAGGAGCAGGGCTGCTACTGTCAGGCTTTCAGCAGGTTTCCCACACTAAGCTATTCTGTGTATGCCATGGAAAGAAAAGAGAAACTTCCTCACATGTGTTTTTTTGTTTGTTTTAACACAAGTTCAGCTGCTTCTGCAAACATCACCTGGACCCCAGGGTTGTCCCTCCCAAACACTTGTGCTACGTCACAAAGGTGTCCCTGAGATTAGGAGGATATAATTAGCAGCAGGCCACATCCTGTGGAGACAGGTCCCTGTGACCTGCTTCACCATCAGGGACCCCTTGAGACGGCTTATGTGAATATGAGCTTGAACAGGTGCCAACACCAGCCCACTCGCACAGCTCTCTGTCAATCACTGCACCTACAGGTCAGAGATCACTGGGGGTATAGTTCCAAATGTCCCTTAGAGCTATGCAGCCAATGGAAACGAGAAAGCACGAATCTAGCTATGTAATTCCCCGGCCAAGGGTACCAAGGAGAAAACTTGACATTGCAGGTCAGAAAGGCAGAATCAAAGGAGCAACACCCCAACCAAGCACACGGGCAACGCCCCCCAACAGGCACAGTGTTAAATGCAAGTCCATGCCCACCAGCCACACTGGCAGGGACGCTGTCCTGAGCCAGGCCCAAAGCCCGGCCCTGCTGCGTGTCTGGCTGTGTGCGGGCTTGTTTTTCAAGTTGGCCGGTCCTCCCTGCAGGCCTCCTAGTGGCAGCAGTGTCACAACCCTGGTGTGATGTCAAAACTGCTTGGAGGATGATGAACTCTGGCCTCTGATGAGTCAATAGAGGGGTGGCTCTCCTCGAGCTCTGTTTACACACAATCACTGTGGCCACGGCTGGCGGCGGCCTGATGCCCGGTCAAGGGTCATGGTACCCAGAGGGCCGGGCTGAGCTTGCACTTGTCCTGCCCACCTCCTGCAGAGACCCCAGCTTCCGGCCTGGCACTGGCTGTGTGTCCCCAGCACCCTGGAAGGGCTTCTCCAGGAAACACAGGTGGAGGAGAGGCGCAGGCTGCCATGGACCAGCCTGATGCCCTCCTGCTCACTGCCTGGCGCAGATCCTGCACAGGGATTCAGCATTCCAGCCAACACCCAAGCCCACTGGCTGAAGGGGACAGAGGACTGACTGGTCGTCCATCACCTCCTGGTATGGCACCGAACAGTCAGCCAGTGATCGGAGGAATCTGCGCAGCCACCCATGTCACAATGTCGGGGCCACCTGGGGCAAGAGTGTGGCTGGCAGCGCAACTCTCTCCAAGCTGTGCCCCGCAAGCAGCTGCTCCCACCAAACCCAAGGTCAGGCACTGCACAGGCAGCCTGGGACAGAGTGGTGGCACTGCCTCAGAGACTCATCTGTCTCCCTTGTGGAACTGGACAGAAGCCAGCCATCCAAGCCCACAGTGTCGGGACCATGCACCTGGGGAGAGGCTCAAAGACAAGGCCCCAGGGCCCTGGTCCAAGCAGATGCCCCACCCCAGAAGGGGTTAGGGAGGGCGAGGGGAGCCTGGCCTCAGAGCCGAGCCCTGGGTGGAACTCCGGCTAAGGAAGGCTGCTTGGCCACTGCTGCCTGGGTTGCTGTCCCTGCAGCCATCCAGCAAGCAGCAGGTGGGCAAAGCCAGCAGGGCACTTGGCACCCCTTGCACCTGGACTGTGCCCTGCAGTCCCCCTCCCTTTTACCGGGCCACCCCCTTGACCTACATCACCCAGCCTGTGCCTGGAGACCATAGGTGTCATCTCCCAGCAGCACCCATGGGACACTCGCCCCCCATCTCACCACCAATTCCTCTCTAGTACTGACCCTAGCACCCCACCCAAGTCACAGAAGAAAATGGTCCAGGCGGTGGGGTCTGGGGCCTGGCTGGTCACTTCCTTGGGTGGTCAGGGGATACTCTAAGCAGGCAAGTGACACTCCTGGGAAGATACCTGCACACCTCCCCCATACTCTCCCAGCCCAGGAGGGCACCAGGAGGCACACGTTGCCCGACCCCCATCTGGCCGCTACCAGCCCACATTTTAGGGCAGCCCCTTCCTAGAGAGAGGCCTTTCCAGGAGCTACAGAGGAAGGGCCACAGCAGAGTGAGCACCTTTCTAACACCTGTGCTCATAAAAGCATCTTTGCAATTAAAATGCTCCAATAAGCCAGCACTGTGGAAGGCTGAGGCAGGAGGATGGCAAGTTTAAGTCTGACCTGGGCAACACAGCAAGGCAGTCTCAAATCTTTTCAAAATGGCTAGGGATGTGGCAGAGTAATAGAAGAACCCGTGGGTTCAGTCTCCAGTATCACAAATAAATAGATACCCCATCTACAGAGCTAGAAAATAGAAAACTAGCTGGTGACTGGCAGACTTGGGTACGTGAGGTTTTGCTAACAACCAACACACTTCTCTGGCTGCCCAAAGGCTCCAGGTGGTCTCACTGCCCACCACACAAAGCCAGGCTTCCACTAAGGTACATCCTGCCACTGGTCTCAGCTCTGTCCACAGCGCTGCTTCACTGGGCAAGGCTAGGAGCCATTAAATGCCATGCCACTTCGGGGCCCAGTCAGTCAGCCTTTGCAAAATGCACAAGCGTGGATGGCCCCATAATATAAGCCAGATGGCCAGGCTGCCCTGGCGGCTTGAGTGTTTCCTTTGAGGGAGCCCCTCCTGGCTGGGTGATATGTTGCCATCCACAGCTGGGCTCCAGAAGGGACATGCTCACCAATCTGCTGCCACCTTCCCCCTTACACGAGGAAGAGCCAGCTTAGCAAGGGGATGTAACCCACACCCGAAATTAAAAATAGCAGCATGATGGCAGGAGGTGGCCCACAGCAGGCCTTCTGGACTAGGGGGCAGGAGCCTCTGGAGAGAAGGGCAGGGCTGCGCATCCCCGCAAAAAAGCCCAGCGAGTGGCCAGGTACCACGTTCACCTAATTTACGTCACAGGCACGCTCACCCAGCCTATTTCTGGGAAGGCCACCTTCCATCTGGATAAGTCAGAATCCCCCAGGGGAAACAACTAGGAACTGGACTTCCACCAGGAAGAGTGGCTTGGGTTGGTCACCAGGCAGCCACAGCCACCCCCCCCCACGTCATCATCACCAGCTCCTCCTCACCTGCAGGGGCGCCTTAGCCTCACCATGGGGAATCAGACAAGGTGAGACCTAGCTCTTCCGAAAAAAAAATGAAATCCCCTTTCCACAAAGGGGAAAACTGAGACAGCGGGAGAGAAAGAAAACTGCCCAAAGAAGAGGAAAGCCACGCTGGAGAGGTGGGTTCTGGCGAGTCCAGGGGAACACAAATCAAGAGAAATTCCCAGCTGAGCTCATGGTGCTGAACAAGTCCAGGGCAGGAAGAAAGCCACATTCCTTCCGAGTTACTCTGCTCAGCCACCCGTGGCCCCCCCACGGACAGCGCGCGCGCTTGCGCGCGCGCTCGCGCACACACACACAGGGTCGGTCTGAGCCACCTTCCGATCACAGCGCCCCACTTTCCAGGAAAGGAGGCACAGCACTCCCAAACCACTTCCCCTCAGGTCCTGACCGCGGGGATCGGCAACTTCTGTCCCCGGTCCAGGTGGCCAGTGCCATGACACTAACAGAAATGGGAAGACACGGGTTTCTGATCACAGCGCCAGATGTTCCCGAAAGTTAGGCCTGAAAAGGGGTTCAAGCAATCTCCCCACCCTTCTCCCCAGCCAGGTGGGCAGAACTGAAAGGTCTCAAAGTTCCCCAGCGTGGAGTCTAAGAGTCGGCAAGCAGGTGTGGTGGCCAGAGCCACTGAAGTAGCTGCCTGAGAAAGGCATCTGGCTAGTGACCGGACACACACAGGTGCCTTGGGAAATGTCGCAGTCTGACCCCCTCCAACACTCCGTCTAGTCAGTGATGTTCAGGAAGACAGGGTCACCTGGGGTGGGGACAGCTGTCAGTCTCTGACCAATTCACCGCTCCTGAGAATCAACAGTGGGGCCCAAACCAAAGGGTCTCCAGGAAAGCCGCACACGCCCAGTGCCGACCAGACTTCCGGACCCACAGGTACCCCAACAGCAGTGCCCCCGCCCAGCGAGGACCAGGACGTTAAAGCAGCTTCCCAGAACACAGGCACTGTCACCCCACCTTTCCGTTCAGGTGCCCCCGCCCGACACCGGCCCAGCACGGCGCTGTCCCCACCCTGCCAGGTGCGCACGGACCCTGCCCAGATACCGGGCCAGACAGCACGGGCCCGGCACCCCAGTGCCACCTCGGACGCCCCAGACCCGCGGTCGCCGCCAACCTGTGTCGCCCCAGTTTCGTATGAGGTGAGGAAGCCGAGCTCCGGAACTCAGTCCACACAGCGCCCGCGGCCCCCGACCTCCGAGCGACCCCCGGACCCGCGCTCCCCGGACAGGCGCAAGAGGCCGGCCAGCGTCCCCCACCACGACGCCCGCCGCACCGGACCCCGCGCCGCTCACCTGGCCAGCGCGGTAGCTCTCGAAGGCCTTCAGGGCACTGTCTGTGAGCTTCACGTGGAACACGGACACCTTGCTGCCCTCGCTCACCCGCCCGCACGACAGCCCGTAGCTCCGAGCCTCCTTCAGCGCCGCCATCTTGCGACCATCGCTCCCCCGCCCCCCTTCCCGGCTCCAACGCCGACGCGCCGGACACGCCCCGCCCCACCGCCTGCCGACGTGCTTCATTATTCATGAAGTGCGGTTGGCCACGCCCCTGTCTTCACGGAACCAACAGGCACTGTTGGACCGCTCGCCGACGTGCTATATTATTCATGACACATAAATGTCCACGCCCCCGCGCACCCGACGAGCCCCCTAAGTCTCCGCCCCTAACTACTGAATATTAATAACTCGCTGATGGCCCCACCTCTCCAGCCCCTAGAGGAGGACACTTCCGCGCTACACAACTCCGCCTCCCCACGCGCACCCCGCCAGGCCCCACCTCTATGTATTACTCATAAAACTGACTGGACACCGCGTCGAAGCCCCGCCTTACAGGCTGCTGACGCATGCATTATTTATGAGCTCTCAGGTCTTCCGTCTTTGGCTTCCGCAGGGCGCCGCGGAGAGGGCGTGTGGGAGGCGGGGCTCGAGGCTGGCCTGACGGATGGGCGTGGCTACGTAGAGGAGGCGCGCATTGGACGCGGGTTTGGACCGCTGCGGCTTCCCTTAAGGTGGGCGGCTGGGATTCCCGGTCGCGGAGCTGCGGAAAAGCTGGGAAGAGGAGAAGGAGGAGATCAGGGAAACTTCCTAGGAAGAGAGACTTCTCGGAGGCTGCAACCCAACTCCCCACCGTCTCAGCAAGTGACGGGGTCCAGCACCATGTCCAAAAGACAACTTCGTTGAGTTTTTAAATTTTATTTCGTTGCTGAAGAAGAAAATAGTATCTTTTGCTTTGTGTTTTTGTTCTGTTTTGGCAGGCGGTGTGGTGCCGAGCTGTATCCCTGGCCCGAGGTCTTTCTCTTTGTTTTGGGGTTTTATTTGCTTGCTAACCCAGCACTTTGACACTGGGCCACACAACCAGCCCTTTAAAGCTTTTCTCTTTTTATTCTGAGACAGGATCTGGCCGAGTAGTGCAGGCTAGCCTTGACTTCGGTGAGCCTCCTGCCACAGCCTCGAGAGCGAGGATTATGGGTGTGCAGCCCCACACCCGGCTTATGCTCATTTTGCGATAAGGATCTCCTTAAGTCACTTTGGTGGCCAGGCTGGGCCCCGGCTTGGCCTTCTCCTGCCTCCGACTCTGTAGCGCTGGGATTAAACCCGCGTGCTCCACCACAGGGTGTTTTGTTTTGTGTGAGAACTGAACTTGGGGCTTTGTACTTAGGCAGCAGGCACTGTGCCACTAAGCTACATGCCTGGCCCTGCGCCATAGTGTGGGCTCCATACACCTTCCCCTGACATTACAGTTCAGAGGCCTTTACTGCCTTTGTCGTGTTGTCATCACTCCGCCTGCTCCCATTCCCTCCCTCGCCCCTGGCAGCCACTGATCCGCTTCCTTTCTTTGGATTCACCTTTGTTTTTTGTTTTTATCTCCATAGCATGTATCAGTGTCTTGTGAGGCTTTTTTTTTTTTTTTTTTTTTTGAGATGTCTCCCTATATAGTTCACACTGGCCTCTAGCAACAGTCCTCTTGCCTTAGCCTCCAACCCCTTGCTAGGCTTACAGGTGGGCGTGCCCCGCCGTCCCCTCCTCCCTTTGGGATTGAATAATACGCCATCGAATGGGCCTATCACATTTGGTTTGTCCACTAGCCCATTAAGAGACCTTGGAGTTGCCTGAGCTCTCCCTGTGAAGAGTGGTGCCTGGGAACATTCACGCACATGGTATTTTGTTTTTGTTTTCAGGGCTGTTGATGGACGCTGGTGCTAAGCACTCTTCCTCCGGGCTACAGCGCCAGCCTAGCATGAACAGATTCTTCTTTTTGTTTGGGTTCTAACCCAGGAATGAACTGCTGGGTCACAGGCTAGGCTGGGCCTGCCTGGGAGGTGTGGACTGCACCCCATGGGCCAGCTTCACCCGTCTGAGTCCACGGGAAGCCAGAACTAGGGTCAGCCCCAGGCTCTCTGTGCCAATGAGTAGGAACCTTTCAGACCCCTGCTGCCCTGACTGCTGAACACCTGGGTCCTGTCCCCTGTCACAATGTAAGCCTGGGCAGCAGTCACTACAGCTGCTACCCTACAGCAGCCCTGGGGCCCCAGCATGTTCTTGGGGTAGTTGAGCCTCACGCTCGATGCCCTGCACAGATGGCAGGCTGAGCTGCTACGCTAAACACCGTAGTTTGTGCCCTGAGCAGGAGCAGGCATTTTCTTGCCCCAGTTCCCTAACAGACCTGGCAGGACGGCTGCTTCCACCCTGTTCTCACTGTCATACATCCAGAGGACAGCGAGGACTGGGAAGACAGCTCAGTGGAATAAGTGCCTGTCTGGCAGGTGCAGGGTCCTGAGTTCAATCCCAGGTACCGCCAAACACCCCCCACCAAAAAAAACACCCCAAGAGGACAGCGAGGCCACAGCTGTGCACCCCCAGACCCTGGGCTCTATCCCCAGCATTAAAGAGACAAGTAGGCTGGCAGTGGTGTTCAACTACAACCAAGCTACGTAGGAGGCTGAGGCAGGAGGATTCCTTGAGTTCAGGAGTCTGAAACCAACCTGGACAACAATCCACGCCCAATTAAAAAAAAAAAAATAGCCAGGTGTGGTAGTGCATGCTGTAACCTCAGCACTGGGCAGGAAGATCACAAGTTTGAGAAAAGCCCCAGTAATTTAGCAACTTGGGGTGTGCTGAGTGAATAATGGGAGCTCATTTCTGCTGCCACAGCAGCTACCAGCTGCCTCCAGGGCCCAGAGCCAAGGCCTAAGGAGGCTGCTAGGTAGGTGACAAGCCCAGCTGTACCCACCCGGGGCAGGGACACCGGCCCTCACCAGGAGGAAGCAGCACGCAGCCTCTGTTCTGCTGTTGTTGTAGGCAGCTGAATTAGACAGAAATATTATAGGCAGTCAGACAGGGCCAGGCCTGCAAGGACAACATGGAAGACAAGGCAACTTTGCAACCTGGAAGAGACAGACACTTCGGAATGGGCCAGACCTCGAGACAAAAGAGGAAACAGCTACACACTTCCCTAGGGAGGGGCTTCAGGGATTGATACTCTAAATAGGTATCAATCACCTTCAAAGTCCAGATGAGGCACTAGCCCAGCCCCCAACAGGAAGAGACCTTCTCCCATATTTGTGCCCACTTGCTAGTGTGGTGGATTTAATCAATTTCACCTGATCAACGGTGCTTGTAATCTCATTGGTTAACCATGGTTTTGTCCCACCTCATGCCCATGTACATGTATGCGAGTTCCCATGTCTTCTCCACCACCTTAGACCGGCCTCACCACAAGGTTTTCCTCTATAAATGTCCCTAGAGGGGCAGGGGAGATAGCTCAGAACAAGTGCTTGCCTGGCAAGCATGAGGGTATGAGTTCAAGCCCCAGTTCTGCCAAAAAAAATGGTCCCTGGAAGACACAGCTTCCTGGGGACAACCTGCTCAGGCCCCTTTTCCTGTCCCTCTCTGACAGGAGCTTTCTTTCCCTCAATACATTCTGCTCATGGCCTCTGTTTGTTCCTATAATTCACTCCTTGGTTTCAGAGAACACGAACTTGTCCCAGGTACCTCTTAGGTTGGGAGGTCATTTTTCTCCTTGTATCATTTGGAGGTCATCCACTGACCCCGTTTTTTTGCTCCCTGTCACTCACTGTCTTGCTGCGCAGCAAGCTGAGCCAAGCAAATGCTGGAGCCAGCGACTACAGCTATCCCTGTGCTGGATGCTGTTGCTCGAGAACCTGAGGCAGCAGGACTCGAGGGTCAGCCTGGGCCACTCAGGGGGACCACAGCACACAAAGTAGTAAGAAGTCACCCTGAGAGACCTGGTGGCACATGACGGCTGCCCCAGCACTCAGGAGGCTGAAGCAGGAAGATCTCTGCGAGTTTGAGGCCTGCCTGTGCCACACAGTGAGACCCTGCCTCAAACCACCAAAGTGACCCCATTGCTCTTGGTTCTGCGGAGTTGGGGTCCCACTCTGGACCCTTATGCAGCACTCCATCCACGGTCCACTTTGACTTTTCTGAGCCTGGGTCCTGCCGAGTCACCAAGTTGCCCATGCAGGCTCAGAAGTTCCATACTCCTGCCTCAGCCTCAGGGGCAGATGAGGTCACAGGTGGCACCCCCAAGGACTCCCACCCTCAGGAACTGCGGCAAAGCCAGGTCAGACCTGGCAGACAGTGCCACCCTGTGCACAGCCTCGGGGACTGTCATGGGAGGAGGTGGCAGGTCACCCAAGGCATCCGAGAGGCATTACGGTGGTCAGGAAGCACCTTTCTCCTTCTGGCCTGGGGACAGGATGGCAGAAAGGGCAGATTCCAACACAGTGGCCACGGGAACCCAAGGCCTGGGGTTGGCCCATAGGCTGGGCCCCAGCTTCCTCCTGGAGCAACCCAGCACTCAAGGCATGACCACCATGCTAGAGCTCAGGCTGCCCTGAAGCCCATCCAGGTCTTGTCCCTCTTGCCGCGCTGGGCACTAACAGTGCGTGGGGCTTCTTCGTGCCAGGCCAGGGCCTGCGCGCATCCGCTGCTGCCCAGAAGCAGGCCCTGTGTGCCTCCTGTCAGCAGCATGACCTGGCCCAAGCCCGCCCCACCCTGCCCGGGCAACGGGACGGAGGCGCAGGAGTGCGGGGAGAGGAGAGGCTTTATTTCACTGTGGGGACCTGGGGAGGGCAACAGGCGGGCGGAAGGCAGGTGCTAGGGGAGGGCCACCCCGGCTGCAGAAAGCAGAAAGGAGAAACTGAGGCCTGACCCTGGGGACGGGAGACGGGCGGGCGGGGAGTGGGTCTGGAGGAGCAGGGCCCCCACGCACCCTCCCTCCGGGCCACACCTCACCGCCCTCCCGGGGCCTCGACCCCACACTTGCCGGGCCACAAGACCCCATCCTTGCTGCCCTGGCCCGGGGGAAGGGCTAGACCAGAGTGGGCAGCGGACAGGGAGCCTGGGGGGGTAGGTAGGGTCCACGGTGTGCGGAGAGGGTGGTGGCCACCTGGGTGGTCAGTTCCTGGCAGCGATGACCACAGAGAGAGCCACGCCCCCCAGAGCAACGGCAGTCGCCCCAAACAGCCACTTCCATGGGATGGACTGTGAACAGAGGGACAAGGGGAAATGGTCAGGCGGCTGGAGGGGAAGAAGACAGCTTCTGGAGCCTTAGGTCCCGAGGGGATCCAGACAGGCTCCCTGGAGCATCATAGCCTGTCCCTGCCTCTTCCACCCACCAAATGCCTACATGTGCATCAAAGCCCAGTTCAAATGTCCCCTCCTGCAGAACACCTTCCCCGCATCCCTGGCTCACCCAGGCACCCTTGCCAGGACACTTGGCGGGCAGCCGGCTGGGGTTGCCCAGCATCTTCCGGTACAGGGCAGTCTCTGTACTCCGCTGCGCTGCATGCTTTTTCACCAGCTTTGAGAGCTCAGCGTGGATCGTCTGTGGAGGGAGCGGAGGCCACGTGGTGCACTGCCTTCCTGGGGCTGCTGGGACTCAAGACTCCCAGCTTGTCCCTCCCCGAGGGCACTGCGGCCAGGCTGGGCCCATGACAGGCAGGGCCAGCAGCAGGCTGGAGCAGGCCCAGAACAACGCTCACCTTGTTGGAGGGCTCCAGCTTCAGCGCTGCCCTCAGGATGGGGATGGCCTCGCTGTACTCCCCCTGCTGCGCAAGCACCTGTAGGGAGAGGGTGAGGGTATGGGGCCAGGGCCTGGCCGAGGGCAGGCAGGCGCCGGAGGAAGGCAGAGAGCCTGCAGTAGGGGGCAGCTCGGCAGCCGAGAGCAGAGTCAGCCTAAAGGGGGGCCCAAACAGAGCGGACCCCACATCCCGGGACAACACGTGCTTGAACCCAGCTATGCCTGATGCCAGCCGCCCAGGAGATGGTGGCTGCATGGACCAAGCTCTCCCTTCTGCTTGAGCCTGTATTTCTGTCGCATTCAACTAGCAGGAACCCCATGTCTCCTAGAGCCACCAAACAGCTTAATTCCCAGAATCCTGGGGTTCTCTGCCCCCAACAGGAGCACACTAAATGAGGCTGAGGGGGCCCCCCCCCCCCCCAGGCCTCTCATGGACACCTAGCTGACATGGTATCTAGGCCTGTTTCCTTACCCTAGAGCTCAATGGTCTGCAAGGCTGCAGGTTCTGGCCCAGCACTGAAGGAAAGACACAAGCCCCAAACTGGACCAGGGCGGGAACAGAAGCAGACGCCCCGCCACGCAAAGGCCCTGGGATGGGAGCTGTGAAGGTCCGCACAGTGAACAGCCGCCACCAAGCAGCGGGCAGGGCACCACAGCTGGGCCCGGCGGCTCCAGCACCCACCTTGCCCTTGCGGAACAGCGCCTTGATGTTGTCGGGCTGGTGCTCAAGCACCAGGCTGCAGGAGCGCAGCGCAGCGCAGCGCGGTAGTGGTCTAGCTTGAGCTGCGAGGCCGCCAGGTTGTTCAGACACTTGACCTTCAGCTGCAGCAGCTGCTCCTCTTCCTCAAAAGTCATGTCCACTGCGAGGGAGAGTGGTCAGCAGCCCCCCATCCCACCCACCCCAGGGCCTCAGTTTCCCCATCTGTGCTGACTGCAGTAACCACCTTCCCACCTTCCCATGGGCTTGGGGGCTTCAGGGGCTAAGGAATACCAGGGTACCAGTCACCTTTGGCGCTGGAGGTGATGGCTTTGATGGCCAGGTCATAGGAGTTGGCGGCCAGCACGAAGTCCGCGCGCTGATAGTGAGCATTGCCGCACTCGCGTTTCCGGTTGGCCAGCGCCACACGCTCCTGGCCTGTGAGCAGCTCCAGGTCAGGCCCATCCACTGCCGTCTTCAAGGTCACCTCCAGGCACAGCGCCGCATGCGGGGGGATGTAGGGGCTCCTGCTGGGGGGGCGGCAGATGCCACTCAGGGCTGACAGCCCAGCATCACCTGAGTCCCACACCAGGAAGTCACTCTGTCCCCTACAGCAGCAGGATTTGGCTGGTGGCTTCCATCCCAGAGCTGCAGCAAGCAGTTCGTGGATCAGCAGAAGGGAAGCAGGGAGACCGGACAGCACTCACCTGCCCTGGGGGCCGTAGCAGTACTTGGAGTCAGCAGTGACCATGGCCGTCTCACCCACATCCATGAGGGGAACACTGAGGTCCAGGGCCTAGGGGTGGGGCCGCACAGTGGTCAGGGGCGGTCAGGTACACTAGGCCCCCAGGGTCCCCACCCTCCACCTCACCCTCCTCAGTCCCCGCCCCACCTGGATGACATCACAGTCGCCCAGAGTGAAGGACAGCTCCGGCTCCTCCTGCACCCGTGTGCCATTCTCCAGTGACATCTGCAGCTGCACCGTCACCACCTGGCCCTTGGTCGGACGGTTGCACCCTGGAGGGCCTGGGACCAGCGTCTTCTTCCTCAGCAGCCCGTTCCCTGCCGGGGCGGGGATAGATCCATCAGTGCGCGGCTGGGAAATGGGGACAGGATACACCCTGGCCTGTCCACTCACCTCCCAAGCTGAGTTTCCCCTGGACGCCAGTAGAAGACGGTACAGGAGACCAGAGCGGGCTTGTGTGTGCTTGTGTGGGTGTATGCACGCCCCGCTATGTGGTTGTGTGCATGCAAGCATGGTGCTGGGGACGAACCAGGGCCTCGTGCACGCTTGACAAGTGTTTGCCACTGAGCCACACCCCAGCCGCGATGGGGCAGATACAGGGTGACGAAGCTGACACCCCAGAATGACAGCTACTCTGGGTTTTGTCTTACGAAAATTAAAAGACAGACCCGGTTTACACACCTGTGATCCCTATACTCTGGGAGGCTGACGCAGGAGGATCGCAAGTTCTAGCTCAGCCTGAGGAGTTTAGCTTCATAGTGAGACCCTGCCTCAAAAGAAAATTAAAAATAGGCTGGGAATGTAGTTTTGTGCGAAAGTTCTGGATACAGTCCTCAGTATCACAAAAAATAAGAGAGACACCTTCTTCCAGTTCAAATGTCAGCCTTGGGACCCTGAGCCTCAGTTTACCCAGGCCTAAGACTGGCAATGAAATGGTCTGCCTGTGACACACAACCGTTGCCGGGTCCACAGAGCACTGGCCTCACGGACAGTACCTCGAAGTTAGATCTGGAACAGAAGCGCATCTCGAGCCCAGGCTGCCCCAACAGTCTGCAACGCACAAGCAGCACCACCACCCTCACGTGGCCACCGACCTGGGGCGCCCTCCATGCCTGGGCAATGAGGATCAGCCAATGGCAACGGAGAACCAGGTCAGGTGTACGAAGGAGCCACATGACGACCACTGTTACCGCATGATGGCTGCTGCAGTGATGGCCACGCGGGCCGACGTGTGACAGCGCAGCAACAGGGCGCACAGTGGGCATGTGACTGGCCGTGGGACACATGGCCCACACCTTCCTCGGTGTGCTCCCCAGGTTGTGCCACAGGACAGAGCTTGGGAGTTCAAGAGAGTGCCAGAGCCTGTGGTCATCCACACCCCAACATGTCCCTGCACTCTGTCACATCCCATTGGCACAAAACATTTCACAAAAATAAGCCAACCCAGCTTGGGAGATAGCTTGGTGGTCTGAGTGCCTGCCTGGCAAGCACGAGGACCCGGGTGTGATTCCCAGTCCTGCACGCCATGCCATCATGGCTCTGGAACCTCGGGTACACTGTCCTGGCCACCAAAACTGGACATGGTGGTGCACACCTACAACCCCAGAGCTGGGGAGCCTGAGACAGGAGGATCACTAGGAGTCTGAGCTGTGCAGGGAGACCCTGTACCAAACAAATAAGTCATTTTTAAAAAACCTTTAAAAAAAAAAATAAAACAACCCTAGACTATAGCTTAGACACCACCTGATAACAACCATCCTTACTCTAGAATATTCTGACATAGTCTAAAAGACTCTAGAATATTCCAAATTTTATTGCTGTTCCCCAAGTTGGATGTGACGGGCACCCATTCTGAGAACAACTAGGCACGGGAATCCCAGCAGATCCCTAGTCTTAAAGCCCCAGGGACAGTAAGCGCCTGCCTAGGCAAGCACAGGGGCCAGGGTTCAATCCCCAACACCACGTGCTGTGCCAGCCCCAGCATGCTGGTCACAGAGACTGGGTAAGGTGTGCACACCTGTAATCCCAGCGCTGGAGAGGCTGGAAACAAGAGGATCACTAGGAATCTGAGCTGTACAGGGAGACCCTGTACTAAATACATTAAAAAAAAAAAAAAAAAAATCCCTGGACATACTGAGCTGGTCACGGCGACACACACTGTCATCCCAGCACTCAGATCATTCTGAGTTTGAGACGAACCTGAGCTGCGTAGCGAGTCACCACAGCCAACCACCCTGCAACTCTGAGCAAACCTTGTCCCCTCAAGGCCTCCACTTCCTTATCTGTAAACTGGAAGAGGCCTCAATTCATGTTCTTTTGCTTTTCTGCAGTGTCGGGGTGGAAATCCAGGTCTTCACTGAGGGGAGCTCTCAGCACCAAACACACCCCTGCCCGGAAGCCTGGGTCAGACCTCGGACAGCACCTGGGGCAAAGGACAAACTTCAGCACACACGCCTAGGGCACACACAGCCTGCACGTTGAACAGTAAAACTGCTTCCAAGTCTCCTGACAGCCAGGGAGGTTGTGTAACCTTGGGCAGAAACCTAGGCCCCTCGCAGTCCGCTGTGCTCTCTGTACCCAGCCTGGGCACTGCCACACAGTTGTTGGAAGAAAGTAAGATGTTGCCAGGGGTGGTGCAGGATTAGTGCTGGGGAAGGTAATTTTAAGAATGATGTTTTGCTTTCACACTGAGCTTCAACTCCAACCACCCTTCTTTTTTCTTTTAAATTTTTATTTTGAAGCTGGGTCCTACTCAGTTGCCCAGCTTTGCCTTCAACTTTGGCTCCTCCTGCTTCAACCTCCCCAGTAGCTGGGACCACAGGCCTGTACCATCACACCCCACTAGTTCTATCCTCTTCTTTAGACACTTTTCTGTACATTTAGAACAAAAATGGGGGGCTTGGGGGGCAGCGCAGAGCCAGAGTACTCACCCAGCATGTATGAGGCCTTGGCCTTGCTCCCCAGCACTGACAAAAACATTAAAAATAAAAACCCTCCCCCTCCCCAAATTTAACAGTGACTACAAATTAGGGTTATAAAGCTGTTAAAGAATAGTAACAAGCACAGGAACCAGCCAGAGGGGCGAACAAAAGACTCTTGCTCCGGTCTCCATGACATCAGGACATGTTTGTCAGGGGACCTGCACGTGTCAAGACAAACAGCGGTGCTGGTGCTGCAGGCTCACTGTGTCGCGATGGGGGGGTGACTCAGCCTCTCTGAGCTGCTATTAACAGCTCTGGGAACGACGCAGCACGTGTGTGTGCGTGTGTGTCCGTGTGCACACACGATTGTGCAAACAGAGCTCACCATCCAGCCAGAAGTCACAGTAGTCACCAGCTCCAACCCAAACAGCACAGACCAGGAGCATGTCAAGGGGGACAGGCCTGGCCAAGGTCATACCTGGGCAGGGCCGTCCAGCTCTGCGGACCACCCCCAGCTTACCCAGAATGTCCAGCCACTCTTCCGGGGCCGGGACTGGTGCAGGTGCAGGCTCCACAGAGGCCAGAAACTCTCGGGCCAGCGCCCCCGGCTGCTCAGCCTCCTCTGCTGGGGACTGTCCCATGTCTTCCAGCGGTGGCAGCTCACTCAAGTCATCCTCTTCTTCTTCCTCTTCCTCTTCCTCCTCAGCGTCTGCACCTTCAACCCCGTCCAGCACCTCGAAGTCCTCAAGCGGGGGAAGCCCAGCAGGTGGCAAGGCAGCAGGCTCAGAGGGTTCCTCTGCACAAGATGCCATGCTGCTGGGGGACGGGAACTGGCCCTGGGAGACAGACGGGGGTGAGAATCCCGCGAGGCCCTCAAGTCCCCTCTGCAGCCATTGCCTGTGCTGCTGCTGAGATCCCGGCGCTCTGGGCCTCAGTTTCCTCATCTGTACAATGGACCTCAACACAACTATGGCTTGTTGAAAGAAATTAACCGCCCAAGCAGCAAGCTCAGCTGACGTTAGCTATTATTAGCGGTAATTATTAATCACCCCAGACACTCCAGAACATGGGGCAACCTCCCCTCTAGATTCTGGAAAAAGGATATCCTGGCCCAGAGAGGTAGCCCCATTTGCCCAAGGTCACAGAGCAAGCCCCCAAAAATGCAAGGGTAGGACTGTAACCTGGGGCTACAGACCTTGGAGCTTCATCTTCTTAAATAACAAGAAAAGGCTGCTGGGATGCCTGGGGGGGCGGCCCTGAGGCCCTGGGGAAGCCATTTTTACAGCCTCTAGGCTACCTGGGGCATTGGCTCTTCACAGGCCCTTTCGTGTCCGGCCTCCCAAAGCGATCTGCCTACTCCCGGAGCAGGAGCCGACAGGAGCCCCAGGGACCCAGGGACCCCAAGCCAACAACCTTCCACACTCTACGGTGCCTTCTCCAAGTAGGGGGGCCCTCCGGGCCTCTTCTTTGCCACAGGCCTTCGGGGAGCCTCCAGTCCACGGCTTTACCATCGCAAACCAAGCCCAGGCTCCAAACTAAGGAGGTCCATGGCCTGCGCCCCGCACACTGCGCCCTTCCTCCGCCGGCCTCACCTGCAGGCTCCTTCCGGGCTCCCCACCCCCACAATCCCCTGCGCCGCACTCCACGGCCTCCGGCCCACCCCTCGCGCCCTCACTCCGGCCGGCGCCCCTGGTCCCGCCGCAGCCCTGCGAACGTCCGCTGTCCCGCCACCTCGCCTCTGATCCCGTCACCGCGACGCCCCCGCCCCTGCCCGGCGACGCTAACCCCGGCGCGGCGCCCGACGAGCGTCCGACGCCTCTAGCGCAGGCCAGGACCCCGCACTCCAGGGAGCATCCGGCCCCACGCGGCTGGGCCAACGACCCCCTCCGAGTCAACGCCCGCGCCCCCCGCCCCGCCCCAGCTCCCCACGGGCCCCGCCCCTCGCCCCCGCCCCCACTGCGCCAGCCCGGTCCCGCCCAGGCCTGGGGCGCCCTTGTCGCGCGCCCCAAGACACGTGCCTCGGCTCCGGGACCCCCGCCTGGGGTCCTGCGCCCCCTCCCCGCCCCCAGCCGCGGCCGCCGCGCCTCGGGAACCAGCTTCGGGCGCCGGCCCCGCCCCCACCGCGCCTATTGGCTGTCGCCGCCAAGACGACCATATCCATTGGCTCTCACGCACGTCCATCGCATGCGCAGGCACCTCCCCCTTCCTGCTTGGCTGCGCGGGGTGTTCTTAAAGGGACCGAAGCCTCGGGAACACGGGAGACAGGGGTGGGGGCGCTGAGTTGGATCTTGGGAAGTGGTGTTCGCTGTGCAGCCAGGTGAAGTCCCCGCCTCTGCGGGGTGCGCCTCATCCTACTCATCAGAAAAATGTGGGTACGCACCGCCCTAAGTGCACTTTTAGCTTGCGGACTCGTGGGAGGACCGTAATACGTAGTGTTGCCCTGGGCATCCTGAGTCCGGGATGGGCAGCTCCAGGACGACCCTTGACCCACTGCGAACCTCACAAAGTGAGCCGCCCCCTCCTACGTGCTCTGCAACGTGGTTCCCGGAAAATTATCTGGTGCCTGCAGCAGGCACTCAATAGCAGCCGTGGGGGCCTCAGGGAGATAAGGTGCCAGGCCTGGAGAAGGTGGCACCCTCCTTTAGATCTGCCTATCTCAGGCTTGTTTGCTCTTCGCCTCACCCGTACTGTCCCAGTTACTTCCCAACACTAACCCAACCACGACAAAATTGTTGTCCCCACCCCACCCCCCTGTTTTAGTTTTTTTAAAAAATCTTAGCAGGGTGTGGTGGTGCACTACTGTAATCCCAGCACGCGAAAGGTTGAGCCAGGAGAATCTAGAGAAGTGAGCACAAGGCCAGCCCAAACTGCGTAATGAGACCCCGTCTCAAAAAAAAAAAAAAAAAAAATCTTTTATTTATTTAGTACAGGGTCTCACTGCGCAGCTTGCACTCTTAGGGAAACCCCTGTTTTAGCCTCCCCAGCACTGGGATTACAGACTTGTTCTAACATGCCCCGCTTTGGTGGCACGCACAGTGCACCCGCAGCTCAGGGACTGGCACAACACGCAGTCCTAGGGATTGAACCCTGGTCCTCGTGCTTGTCAGGCCGGCCCATAGACCACTGAACTATCTCCCCAGCCCCCTTGGCAAGGAATTTTATTTTTCATTTGGAGACAGGGTTTTACTAAGTTGCTACATTCCCCAAACTGGGCTCCACCATGTGAGTTCCAGGGATACCCAGGCTGGGCTGGCACCATCCCTCCATCCTTGAGCTGCAGAATGTTTATCTGCAGGCCCAGGGAGATAGCTCAGTAGAATAAGCACTTGCCAGGGTCCTGAGTTCAATCCCTGGTACCGTAAAAAAAAAAAAAAAAAAAAAAAAAAAAAGATAGAATGTTTATCTGCAGTGAGCGCCCTCACCCATCCACCTGCACCTTTTATGCCTGTTACAGGGTGGCCAAGGAACTGCAGTAAACAAGATGAATGAAGAAATAAACAATAAACTAAAATACCAAATGGGGCTGGCGAGATAGTTCAATAAGCGCTTGCCTGGCAAGGGCAAGGTTCTGAGTTCAGTCCCCAGTACCACCAAAAAAACTCCCCCCAAAACCCTAAAATACCAAATATAAACACCACCACCACTAATGTCTGGGCTGGGGTGGACCTCAGAGGCGGAGCCCTTCCCTGTCATGTAAAAGTTCTGGTTCCATCCTGACCTCCACAAAAACATAAATAAATAACAATAGCCAGGCCTGGAGAGGATCACTGTGAGCTCCAGGCTGTGGGAGGCTACATAGTGAGACCCTGTCTCAAAAAAAAAAAAAAAAAAAAATAGCGGCAGACCCTCACAAACCCACTACTGTGCAGGCAGATGTGTGTTACATGCTTGGCCCTCCCTCAAAAAGACAAATACTCCGCTATTTGGAAGCAGGACCTACAGCACTGGCTATAGACAATCCTCTGAGGAAATGAACTGAAAGTTTACTTTGAGGCCAATCTTTATCTCGTGTCCCTGGCCTTCAAATGGACTTTGATTATTATTGGGATAGCATGAAGGAATTCTCCTTTAGGTCATGTTTGAAATACTCCTTTCTTTTTTTATTTATTTTGCAATACTGGGGATTAAATGGAGGGCCTTCGCCTAGAGCTACATCCTCAATCCTTTTATTATCATTATTATTTTTTTTAACTTTTATTTATTTATTTTTTGCGGAACCAGGGATTGAACTCAGGCCCTTGTGCTTGCCAGGCAAGCACTTATTCTACTGAGCCATCTCCCCGACCCAGGCCTGGCTTTTTTTTTTTTTTTTTTTTTTTTTTTTTTTTTTTTTTTTTTTTTTTATGTATTTAGTGCAGGATCTACAGGGTCTCACTACACAGATCAGACTCTTAGTGGTTCTCCTGTTTTCAGCCTCCCAAGCACTGGGATCATAGGCGTGCGCCATCACACCCAGTCTCAGTCTCAGTCTCAACTTGCTCTGGGGGCGGGGCAGGCACAGCAGGTGGGTGGAACCCAGGCCACTTCATCTGCCTAAGCAGGCAAAATCCACTGAGCTATCTGAAGCCTGCCTTTTTTCTTGCCTTCTAGACTTGGGTGGGCCAGGGAGATAGCTCAGTAGAATAAGCGCTTACCTGGCAAGTACAGGGTTCTGAGTTCAATACCTGGTACCCCCCCAAAAAAATTAAGGATTTGAGTGGTAAAACTATTAACTTTTTTTGAGCTAGGAATCGAACTCAGGACCGTGTGCTTCCCAAGCAGGCGCTGTGCTGCCGTGCTGATGAGCTGTATCCCAGGCCCTGAGTGATAAAATTGAAATCTGTGTGTTCCTGTGGGGCTGCAGGGACCGCAGGCGTGTCAAGCAGGCGCACCAGTGGAGCCTCCTGCCTCAGCCTCCGGAGCAGCCTGAACTGCAAGGGCCACTGTCAAGCCCAGCTTTCTAGCTCTAGACTAGAGAAGGGAGATGCAGCAAACGCTGGCTCCCGGTCCTGTGAGGAAGGGCAGGATGGGTCCCTCCCCCTCTGAGCTGCTCTGGAGCCAGGGAGCTGGATTTTGTACCAACAGTGACACAGATAAGCACTTAACTACCAGTGTAATCTGTCCCGAGGAAGAAAGGGAACAGGGAAGGGACAAGGAGCTACGCATGCGCGGTGCTGCACAGCTGCCATCCCTGCGCTTGTTCCCAGAGGCCTAGGCAAGACACGTAGGAGTTTGAACTCAGCTTGGACAATTTAGAGACACCATCTCTAAATAAAAACTTCAAAGGGATGGGGATGGAGCTCCATGCCAAGGCGCAGGTGCAAGGGAGGGAGAGGCCTCTCAAGCCTGAGGTCCCCTTCGGGGGCAGACCCCGAGTGCCAGCGCCTTCCGCCTTCTGCCTTTTAAACATGGAGAGAAACCACTTTCTCCTCTGCAGCATGCTGTGTGTGAAGCATTAGCCACAGCCAAGGCCCGCTGAGCCCCTTTCTGGCCCTGGGAAAGAGTCAGGCTTCCAGCAGCACCTGAGGAACCACTGTTGGGGAGGGTGCCCCAGGCACACGGCAGCCTCCCCCCCCCCCCCCGCACTCGCTCCTCATGCCTGCACCAGTCAAGGCCACACTGAGTGCTTCCCATCATGGTGCCCTCACTTCTGCCATCCTTCCAGGCCTGAGAGATTGAGTGCACCTATCGAACTCCTAGTTCTACCTCAAAACCCCATCCAGATGTATTAGTGCCTTGCAGCCTTCTTTACCTCCAGTGTGAGTCTTGTCACAACAGCACTTGTGCAGGTTCCTTTGACCCTGATTTCCTACACGTGCTGCCAAGTACTGACCCCCACAGGTCAAGGCTCTCTCTCTCTCTCTCTCTCTCTCTCTCTCTCTCTCTCACTCTCTCTGACTTGATCTCTATCTCTTTCTTTTTCAGTACTGATGGTGTAACTCAGAGGCTTTCATACACTTCCAGCTCTTTTTATTTAGTTTTTGTTTTTGAGATGGAGTCTCATCATGTAGCCCAGGCTGGCCTCGAACCCGTGCTGATCTCCGTGCCCCAGCCTCCTAAGTGCTTGTTTGACAGGAGGGGCCGCCACGGATACCCAGCCCAGATTTTTTTTTTTTTTTTTTCCCCAAGACTCCAACTCAGGACCTTGCACTTGCCAGGCAGTCCGGCTTTCTTATTCCTGAGGCTGAAGGAATAGGGGAGTACAGAGCAGTTAAGTAACACAGTCCTGAGGTTGCCCAGCCGCACTTCCAAGCTCCAACGCAGCCCGCATCTCCAGAGCACCCACAATGTGTGGCAATGTCACATTCTGTCCAGGCCCCTGCAGAATTAGTGACAAGCAGGAGAGATGGGTGTGGTTATTGCCAGTTCCAAGTGTAGGGAACAGATAGAGCAGGATCAAGAGTCTGAATGGGGGCTGGGGAGATAGCTCAGCAGAATAGGCACTTGCCTTGAAGCACAAGGACCTGAGTTCAATCCCTGGTTCTGCAAAAGAAAAAGTCTGAATGTGAGTCTGGCGTGGTGCAGCACAGCTATAATCCCAGCCCTCTGGAGGCTGAGGCAGGAGGATTGGTGCAAATTCGAGACCAGCCTGGGCTACAAAGTGAGTTCAAGGCCAGCCTGAACTGCATAGTAAGACCCTGTCTCAAAACCCTCCCACCCTGAAGAGGGTTGGAAGTGAGGGTAGGGGGTGAGGGGAAAAAGAGGTTGTGTCATGTACAGGTATAGTTCTCCCTGATGAATCTGGTCATTTTGTCTATAAAATTTAACTGAAAAAACCCTCCTCTTGGGGCTGGGGAGATGGCTCAGTAGAATAAGCGCTTCCCTGACAAGCACGAGGGTCTGAGTTCAATCCCCGGTTCAAGGGTGGGGTGGGGGGAGGGAAAACAAAACTCCCCTCCAAAAATAAATAAAAATTAAAAAGGACCAGGCAGGACCTCCTGCAAAGCCACACCCTGATTTGCTGCTCCTTCTGCTGGAGGCTGTGGCCAGCGAGGCAGCGCCCAGCTCTATCACCTGCAGGGTGGCCAGCGGTGGGGACCACCCTTGGTCCTGGGTGACTGAACCTCAGCTCTCCGGAAGGCATCCGAGCCCAGCTGCTTGGGCCACCGTGACCAGGGCTCTGCAGAG